GTTCGGTTCTCTGCTAGAGTCTTCACCTGTCTCCAAGTCTGCCCACATGCTTTCATCTCCTCTTCACATGACCTCCTCCAAGTCACCCTCGCACTGACGACCAACTCGCTGCTTCCCTTTCGGGTTCCACTCGAGCGATGGCTTGTCTAGTGATGTCACTCACTTGATGGTTTCCTAAGAGTATGACCTATCCATCTCCATTTCTTCTTGCCTATTTGTTGCACAATCGGTTTCTGGTTGGTTTGCTCCCACAGGTCCCTACTGCTGATCTTTTTTGGCCATCTGATCTTGAGTATTGAGCGAAGACGGCTGTTAATGAAGGTGTGTAGTTTGTTTGAGATGCTCTAAATGACGCGCAGTGCAAGTCACTGATCCGTATAGTAGCACTGACTACTGTCTTATCATTATATTGTCAAATCACTAAGATTGACTTATATTTTAATGTTCATATGTAAAGTTCTATTTTTAAGAGTAAAGCCTTATGAGATCAAATTGCAAACAATATTGTTCACTCAATTGTGTTATTCTAAATTTGATTTGAATTGGAAATTACTGAGATTTTGTTCAGATTCAGTAGTGTTGAAATCTGCATGCATTCTGTATACACTTCATATCCATAAATGCTTGTCAGTAAAGTTCAACTCCAATGATGGTGACTATCCAGTCATTGGCTTCAGTGGCACAGCGTTAGAATGTTCAACGACCATGCTGTTGGTCGGGGATCAGGTCCCTGACTGACACACTCATTAACCTCACTCAGCCAGTAATAAGACTGGTAAATAGGGAACATTGGACATAAAGTTAGGATCCCCAACCCGTAAAAGTAATAAACACCACTGCTACCGAAACTTCAAAGCTCTAGCTTGAAGCCCTATGTTCCACTGGGAAAGTGTGCGTCGGTGGCACAGTGGTTAGGACTCTCGCCGACCATGCACATGGTCCGAGGTTCGATCCCCTGCCGACGCACACCTGATATCTATGGTCGGCCTGCAAAATTTGGGCTACCGATATCCATGCTGAAAATTCCATACTTGTACTGAAAATACGGTGTGGCATCAAGCTGTAATCAAAATAAAAAATATAAATCAATAAAGGAATAAAGTGAAATCTAGTCATTGTAATAATTACCTAAAGCATAGATATCTTGGAGACTGTATGAGTTGGTGTCAGTATTATGCTGGCTAATTGACGCTGCCATATAAACATTAATTGAAATTAAAGCTGTAACTTGAGTCTCGGAAAGATTTGATTTGATTTCTCGTAAGACTGAATTCTTCTTTACTAATACACCACTTGTGAAAGAATGACTGATTTCGTTTGTGATCATGTTGACAGTAACAGTCTCTTCAGTCAAATGACTAAAACCTTTATCATGGTGATTTGTAAAAAGGTATGCCATATGAGTCTAATATTTAGTATTATTGATAGGCAGGTTATATAATTATGAGAATTCTCATTAACAGAAGCGTAGGATTTAGGCACTGTGGTAGAATAGAATTCCATATTTTTTTTTACTCCTTCACATTCCCAGTGGAACATAGGGCTTCAAGCTAGAGGCTTGAAGTTTCTGCAGCAGTATTTATTTTTACAGGATGGGGTTGCAAGCCTGATGCCCAACCTTTCCTCTTTTCCACCCTTATTCCATATTTTTTATTCTTTCGGCATATAGAAATTTAGCAGGACCTGGAATGATTGACCCTGCTGATAAGTTAAATAATCTAAGTAAAAGCTCAGCCATTGCATTGTATTCGTTTGCATGTTATCACACAATAGGGTAGGATAGGTTGGAAAGTACTAAAAGTAATTTAAGCGGAGAGAGAGAGAGGCTAACCTCTGAATCTTTGTTCATCGAATCAACACCAAACACTTTCATTCTAAGTGATGATACACCAATACCTCAGATATGGAAAGTTGCAATAAAAAACAAGAGGGGGAGATTAAAAAAATAAACGAAGCAAATTATGAAGCCATGTGAATAAACTGATATGGTTCTAAGGAGTAAATTGTGCTTTAAACGTCATCCAGTTATTAGTACTCTGTGTTATATCAAATAAACGTGTCTAGTATGGAGTTGCATTCTACCTTAGTGCTCAAGTTCTACACTTACATCAGTGATACTTATGGTCTTCCAATTCGAAGACCAATTATCAATAAACTCATGCGACTATCAAATAAAGTTCTTTAATTTGAGAAGTTTCCTTTCCTTCAGTATTTTCTTAGAGCATTTCGAATTAAGTTATACCATAATACAGCAGCAACGATATTTAAGATATGTAAGCAAACAGTGTACTGAAGTTGTGCATTTCGGTTCATCGATATATGAATTCACATACGAATATACAGTCCTGAGACTTCACTATTATCAGGGATGAAGAGAATTTCATCTTTCATGAAGTTTGGCATACATCGACTTGGATAAGTCAATACTTAAGATTAAGATATCATGGAGAAGATTTGTAGTTCAGGTGGATGATATTGATGTATTTGTGTTCTCTAAGCTGGGTGATTTTCTTGTGAATCTTTCATTGTCTTTCTAGACAACATGCTGAGTGCATACTTCAACTTGAAGTGAGATTTTAGAATTTTCCATGAGTTTACCAGCCATCCTTCCTGGTAACCTTGAATGTGATTGGTTGTGTATAGATCCATTTTTGATAGCTTCTGTCCCCTTTCTTATAATAGAAGTTTGGTCAAGTCTGTGTTTTTCGAAAGAGAACCAGATCTATAAAGATGGTGAGCATCATAATTTTCATTACTGAGAACATTAAATTAGAAGCAAGGTGAGAAATTGATTGAAACAACTGTGTCAAAGAAGAGTGTATTCATCAGACTGCCATTGGAACATGATGAAATCATTTTGCAAAAAAAGAATTTGTCGATTATTTTAGATTTAGCCTTGTGATTTTCTTACAGATTGATTTACAACTGGTATTTGTTCCCAATCTTATTGTTCTTTCTGTCATTCTTAAACGGTATTCATCTTTGTAACATTTTCAGTTTATTTTACTTCATGTTATTCCGTTATGAAACATTCCTTTCAAGTGTTAAGGAGGGTGGTTGTACGGGTTCGATTAATTTCAATGTGGATTTTGTCATGAACTGACATCAGTTAGGAGACTATTGAAAATCAGGGAGTTTTGGACGCCTGTTTTACCACTGTTCAACACTCTCCACCAGTGCACACTCACTACGCCATCAAGCATCGAACCCAGGACCGTTTTCGTTAAATTTTAGTTATCTTCTCCGAGCATATTGAATTATGATCACATCATAGCATCATTATGTCATTTTTTTAAAATTTGGTCTTATTTTCTGTTTGTATTTCATGTTTGAGATAATTTGTACTTGTTCCGCGCATTAGTTGATTAGGCTGTGAACACCGTCATTTATTTCTTATAGATTTATTGATGTGCAAATGTCGAAAAGATCATTTTGTGTATTACAATATATTCAAGCTCGAATTCACGGGTTACTGAAATCTAGCCCAATAGCTAATTGATTAATAGGCTCAGCTTGTGTCCTGAAGGTCCTCCATTCGGTCTCTGATGGAGTAATGCTGAAAAGTCAGAAAATATGACGAAATAGTTATCCAATGTCCCCGTCTTTCATGACTAAACTTACATTGGAACTAATCAAAATCCTTAAATTGAACTGGATTAAATTAATTCCGTTTGACCGTGACACTCACAAAACTAAGGAACTATAGATAACTCTTGAACCTAGTACGTAAATGAAAGATTTTGGGCATACTAAACGAAATATTTCCAATTTCACGCAAAGATTAAGAAAACGAATTTACGACAGTTTTTTCGTAGGAATTTGATTTGTTTCAAGTTTGACCGCGGATTGATATCAGTTAGAAAACCAGCACAGGAGTACTGGACATATGTTCTGTCCAAGTTTGGGACTCATCTTCAGTACTCACCCACTTGAGTTCGAACCCAGGACCTTCCGGCTACAAGTCAAGCTCGTTGCCCATTGGGACCCAACTCAATGGCCGACCCATGAATTCCAATTTCTACCAACTCGTGATTTCAGCGCAACGACCATTCAATTTCATAGGTGAGTATTTGTACGCACTCCCGATCGGGTGGACCGCACTGGTCACCACTTCTCAATAGAACTTCAGGTAACTTCGTTCAGTAGCCAGTCACTAGTGGGGATCAGATTTATTTTCAAGAGTTTGTTTTTATTACTGATGACTTCCACAATTGGACGAAACAGCTGTCTCATACTCCCTAGTTTTCAATGGTTCTCTATCACCGAAGTCAATCCGTGATCAAACTTTAAACAAATTTAAATAATACCTTAAGGGGAATTCAATTTACAACTGTAATATCATTTATTTATTTATTTATTAATATCGGGTGTGCGACTACAATATTAAAATATATTAGAACATTTCAATAGCCTTGTTAAATGCGACATACCGTTAGTCGACTTATTCGCGTACTTGCTTCGAATAACATTTATGCATTCGCTAGTTTAATTTCAGATTACTGCATCCTCAGTATCTTATCCTGCATAGATAATATTGTCAGTTTTTAAGATCCTTTATACGAAATGTGTTTTTAAATACTGTACATGAATGAATAATTTCAGCGGTTTCGTCAGTGATAAAGAAACAAAAATATGAACTGTCCCCAATGGACAAACAAAATTCTGGTTAAATAGTTAGATCTCATCACTGGTAATCCATTTTAATGTGAGGCAATATGGAAAAATCTCACGAAAATGAACCAGGTTAATCAATAATTTTGACCTAAAAGAAAAACCTTGAATATTAACCCCTGTATATCGGTATATTTGAAACACTAACACATTTGGTTTGTGCTTCGTAAGATCGATAGTATTATGATCATTACGTATTATAATATGAGAGAACTACTCATTGAATAAGGAGAGTCATTTCGAATTCTGAGAATTTATTTCTTATCTACAATTATATATTATATGCGGTACAGTTTTTTTTAATCGTTATTGTTTTCTTCCTTTCAAAGGTCTGTTTGATCAACCATTAGTGACAAGTGGGAAATCACATATTCCACAATCATCATCATCTCCGTCAATAAATAAAGTGGTCTCTGGGAATAATATTAACTCGAGTGGAAGGCAAACACCTGGTAATTACAAACATACTGAACATAATCAGATAGACCACAATGTTTATCATGCATCGAAAGATAGCGAACTAGAAGGTTCTAATGTCTTACTCGGTATTGGTATAAACGAAGCAACATACGTTGCATCTGCGCCTAATGTTAGTGATGGAGATTCTAAAGGAACTCAAGAAGTAAGCATTTACTGTAAACATTTACAAATTATTAAACGATATGAAATGACTGTTCGGTAGTCGTGTAGATGGAAGCAATGTAAATTAGAGGTTGTGTGGTAGTTTGTGAATACATATATCATATTATTATTATTCTCTTGAGTTCCAATTGCAACACAGAGCTTGTACAACACACCTCCACTTTCTTTTTTCTCCTCTCCTCTTCAACTGGGTCCACGATTGACCATAATCTCTCATCTCCTCCTCCAACTCTCCATCCCCTTCATGTCACCTTAGCACCGACAACCCACTGGTTGCTTCCTTTTTACTTTACTTTTACTTTACTTCGGCTATCTCCTACGGGAGGATGAGCCGGCTTCATGAACATCTCGAATCATCGCTGCCCAGGCGCGGCGATCTGGTGCAAGGTCTTGCGACAGGGTTATCCAATTCTTGTTCCACAGACGGAGTCCGTAGACGGTTTGTAGCCCCAGGCACTCCATATCAGCCTTGACTATACCAAGCCATGTTTTCAGCTGTCCACCCCTGCGACATCGCCAAGATGGTGATGGCGAGGGATTTAGAACTGATTTGACCAGATCGTCATCTGGTCGGCGCAGAACATGGCCAAACCACCGAAGGCGACGTTGTTGGACCAGTGCTGGAATTTGGTTGATGTTGAGAGTTCATGAAGTTTCATGGGAATTTGGTACAAGTGATGTCCCCAGAATCGCTCGGCTTTTGTTTGAGAGTGCAGCTCTAGCCTTTACACAACCAAGTGTGACCTACAAGGCAGTAGGAGTGGAGTAGGGAGTCCACTATCCATTGGCAGCCGGTGGCCGAAGTTCGGTTCATACGCCATTTTGAATGGGGCCAGATATCCAGGACATCCAACAAGCCCTTTGTCCAAACGTCTGCCGGTGAGCTCCAGTGAGCTTCATACGCCAGTCGTTGGAGGTTTGGAATCAGGGTTTAGCCATCTCCCCTAGACTGTCATCCAGTGGATAGTCAACCCTGTGAAGAGCGCCGGACATCCGCTTTCGCCCTCTCACTTTGGTGAAAAACACCTCCGCCACGTGAAGGCAGTGAGTAGGACTTCCTCAGGAGAGGCTATGTAAGACGCCCGGTCATATGGGAGCATTTCAAGAGGTGTGCGGAGGATTCCACTCGAACGATATCCTGTGTTGCCTGCGATATCATCCGACGGCCTCCTCAACGTATGCACAATATATCACCAATTTCTCCTACATATCTGTTGAGCAATCGGCTCTCAGTTGGTTTGTTCCACCACTGAAGTTCTCGGTGCTACTTCTTTCTGGCCGGCCTGCATTAGATCTTCAGTATGGAGCGAAGGTGGCAGCTGTTGATGAAAGTCTGCAGTGGTCTGTTGGAAATTCTTTTCGTGACACGTTGGCCACGTTTCTGACTGACTGACCTCAAGTTTGTTTTGAAAATCCAAATCTTGTTGTTCATGCTGGCTGGCTGAGTGCAGTTCAGAAGATTTCTAAACTAGTTTCAGGTTGATGAAGGTGTATCTTGCCCTTCCGATTCAGACTGACATCTTCATCCGTTCCGGTTGCCTGTGGTTGAAACCGTATTTACTGACCAGATAAGTGAAGAGAGGAAGTAACGTCTGTCAGATCTCTTCCGTTGATGGTGATTGGTGTTGGTCGTTGTTGCTGTTGTTTCTGTTAGTTGATTATCTTCATCACCTCCGTTTTCTCAATGTTTATCTGGAGTTCTATCTTCGCTGCCAGTCTCTTTCGCCAGTTTGTTAGTTTATGCCTGTATGTTTCCGAGTTTTTGTGATATTAAACAGAATATTAATCTCATCTGCCATATGAATACTATCCAACCCCTCACACGGTCCGATGTTCAATTCCCGACCGACTCATTCCTAAACCTCATTCAGCCGATTGTAAGCCCGGTAAATAGGTAAGATTGGGCACGAGGCTAGCGACTCCACCCCACAAAAGAACACTGACATTCAAATCTCAATCTGGATTCTCTATTCACCAATCGAAACGTGAAGGGAGATGGAGAAGGTAGTTGTACTTAAGTGTTTCACTTTTATCAACAAAATATGTAGCGTCTTAAAAAACCGGAGTACTTGCGTCTTTCGAGCTACATTTGGCGGATGCGTTAGCGGAAATTATGAAAAGATATTGATGAGTATCACTACCTTTCATTATTCTTACGAATTCATTTCACCAGACAACACCACAAAAAGGAGGCTGTTCACAGTGGATCCAGTGACATCTTTACACCACTAAGATCCACGAGAACTGGTCAAAGAATCTCCTAACAATTCCAGGCGAATGTTGTATATTCCTTATGTTTTTAAGTTAGCGTTGAGTATATTATTATTATTATTGTTCCCTTGGGTTTCTAGTGGAACATAGGGCTTCAACTACACGTCTCCACTTGCTTCTGTCTTTTGCTGTACTTTTCACCTGCGTCCATGTTAATCCATACTGTTTCAATTCCTCTTCACAGAATCTCCTCCATGTTATCCATGGACGTCCCACTCGTTGCTTCCCTTTCGGGTTCCACTTGAGGGTCTGACACGTGATGTCACCCAGCGGCCTCCTCAGCGAGTGTCCAATCCATCTCCACTTTCTCCTGCAAATTTGTTGGACGATTGGTTCTTGTTTTGTTTGTTCACCTGAATCCAGCTTGTTCTGGTTGGAGTTCTGTATCCAGTGCGTCCTTTATTCTCTCCACGATGATGCGACTCAGGATTTTACTTGGCGTCGACAGAAGCATGATTCCTCGCCAGTTCTTGCAGAGTCCTAGGTCGCCCTTCTTTGATAGTGTCACGAGGTAACCCTTCCTCCAGTTAGTAGGCACCTTTCCCTCTTTCCATATCTTTTGCAATAATGGAGTCAGCATATCTGCTGTCGTTTCTGGGTCCGCTTTCAGTGCTTCAGGGTGTATTCCATCTGGTCCAGCTGCTTTTCCAGCTTTCAGAAGCTTGATTGCATTCATGACTTCAGTTTTCGTTGGAGGATTGGTGTCAACTTGCAGTTGTGTACGTGCTGTTGTTGGTATTTCTGGACGAGTTGTAGGTGGTGGTCGGTTCAAGAGTCCTTTGAAGTGATCCGCCCATTGTTTAATCTGTCTTTCTTCTTTGGTAATTGGGTTCCCTTGGCTGTCTTTTATAGGTTTCACTTGTGTTGATCTCTTCCCGGATAGAGCTTTAGTTATCTGACATAATGTCTTCAGTTCCCTTTTGCCTGCTGCCTTCTCAGCTTCAGTGGCCAGATTGTCGTAGAATTGTCTTTTGTCCTTCCTGGCACTCTTCTTCACTTCTTTGTCCAGTGCTGTGTAAGTTGAGCTCAGCGTCTCTTTCTCTTGTCCATCTTTGCATTGAATCATTTTCTCTTTCACCATTCTCCTCTCCTCTATTCGCTTCCAAGTATCCGTTGAGAGCCATTACTTATCTTGTCTCTTCTTTCTTCCTAAAACCGTTGAACACGTTTCGTTGAAAATCACCTTCAGAGAGTTCCAATGGTCTAGTTAGCGTTGAGTAATCATGCCTAATTTTAGCATACTTGCACACACACGCACACATCAAGAGTCAATATATTATGCTACTTCACTCGTTGTTTTTTTTATTGTCCTAAGCATTACACAATCTGCTGACTAGTTTTCAACAAACAATACACTTACTTTCCCAACTATAAATATATTTATTTCCTGTTCAACTCCTTTAAAGAAAAGTAATATTTTTCCAATCATGTGATATTTGTTTCATTGTTCTCTGAAAAGTACTCTACAATTAGTTTACAATTGTTTACAATTGTCCAATAACAATGCTTATAATTCCTAAGAGTATACCTATATGTATAGGTACAGTGTGAAATTTCCAGGGTATTATAGCACATTACTACCTGACTTTCAAACAGAAACAGTAATCATTGAACACACATGCATATGCACACTCTGATATCATGATGATAAGGTCAAGATCATCTCAGTTGTTGTTGTTGGTCTTCCGAAGCTATTGTCAAAATCTATTTTCTGCGTACACTGTTCTGTTCCCATGATTTACCGATAACACCAGTCGGATATTGGTAGGCTAGTTAGGTGCATGAACAGTGTGATAACCTACGCCACTAAGGTATTATGTATTATGGAATCTAGCTGTTTTCAATACAATGCCGGTAGTAAGTACAATCTATGAAAGGAAAAAACAAAGAGATCGGGGTGGAATTCGACGGTCGGATGCACGTTTTTTGATAGTACTTTGTCTTTTTTTCTATGAATGAAAATTTATACATTTATCTTTCTTTTCATTTGTTAGACATGTGTATCGCTTAGTTTTCGACAAAGAATATTGCAAAAGAAATCTAAAAAACTTCAAAATTTACGTGATAATTCAACACTTGTAAGTTTTGCATTATTCTGTATATCTCGTAGTTATATTCAAATTTTTTTTACACCTATCTGTTTATTACAGTCATTTTATAAGTTTATTGAACAGTAGGTGCGCTGTTTCGCTGAAGAAGAGAGAAATAAACGTACGCATTTAATGTTGTGCCCAAGAAAGTATTGATGAAAGTATAACTGCATCCACTATTTGAGTCACCTGACTGTCAACCAACTGAGTTAGGAGTTCAAAGCGTGCTCCATCTGCCAAGTTTTGAGTATCATCAGCCCTCACTCAATAGGTGTGGCTCATATCCGACTGAATAGCAATACAAGTGGATGTTGCTAATGTTGATGTTACTCAGCTAACAACCAATCGCACTTGTATGCAGTTGGCAATGTACGACGCCTATTGTTTGAGGTCTAACGATATTACCTTGCTACCCGAAAATTCGTTAGATGAAGCAGGGTTGAAACTCGTGACCCATTGGTTAGAAGTCGAGTGCCTAGACCAATAAGCCATAGCTGCTGCACAAGTGGAAGTTGAGTAACCAAAGAATTTGAATAACGCGATCAGAACAACGTTTGTAGGATAAGATGAATTCAGTTGCATACAACCTGAATAATAAACTATATTATAAGCAATGAATGTAAAATAATTCAAGCATACTTTAACTGTGAACAACCAGTTAATTTTTTATATGAGTAGAAATAACATGCTCAAAAATGGACTCTAGGTAAAAACTATACGGGAGGTTAGAATAATTAGTCAGGTGACAAAATGAAGAACATTATGTACTATAAACAGAGAAATGCTCTAGAATTTTAGGGTAATTTACACATAAGTGGGGGAGGCAGCCATGTAGTCACATGAAAAGTGATTCAACTAAAATGTGAAAGAGGTCAAGGATAACAAAAGTATTAAGAACTAATATATATGAATGCAATTATCAAATTTCATTATAAAAATGAGTTGCAATTTCTACACAAGTTAAAGTCACGGAATATACACATTGGATCATAGTGGGAAGCCGTGACCAGTAGGGTACAGCAGGTTGAAGATGTGGCAGTAACTCATCGAAGAAGACATTGCGAAATGGTCGCGCTATGTCGTGAATCGGCAGAAGTTAGAATTCAAGGACCATTGGATCGGGTCCCAGGGGCTCAATGGTCTACGATCACGCCTTGTAGCCAGAAGGTCCTGGGTTCGGACTCTGTTGGTGGGTGCGTACTGCTGAGGAGTTCTGAACTAGGACGAAGCAGCCGTCCAGTACTCCCTGCAGGTTTTCCAGTGGTTCTCTAACTGATGTCATCTCATGATGAAATCCTACATGCAATCAAACAAAATCCCTACAAAACCAATACTTGAAAATTATTAAAAAGATGGTTGCAGCGAAGAAAATTTTTTTCCCGATGAAGTCATCAACTAGGCTGTACATTTGTGTACTAATGATAAATGGTTGGGAAAATTCCAGAATAATTTCCAGTCAAGGGTCAAATTAATAAAAATTACAATTAGGAATTAAAATGCCATAATAAACAGGGGGACGGATAAAGCTCAAACAAAGTAGCATCATAATTACTGAGAAGATTGACACACCCGATATCTATGGTCAGCCTGAATTTGGGCTACCGATATCCGTGCTGCAAATTCCATACTTGTACTGAAAATACGGTGTGGAATCAAGCCGTAAATCAAAAAAAAAAAATATTGTGCAATTAGGGGTTAGAAATGTAGAAATAATAAAAATATACAGGATGTTTGGATAAAAAATCTAGTGGGATCATAACTAATATGACGAATAATTGTTTATGCAGTTAGAGATTAAATATGTAGAAATAATAAAATGACAAAATAAACAGGAAGTTCGGATATGAAAATATGGTAGTGTAAATAGGGATTAAGAAAAACTTAAAAATAAACATGAATAAACAGGAAGTTTGGATAATAAAGGCAATGGGATGGTCATTACTGAAAGAATTGCCTGTTTATGATGACCATGGCAGGGACAACTGTTGGACGTATTTCTTTTGGATACATAGCGTGGGTTTGAGCTTTTACATAGCCAGTGCCTCGGCTGAATTTAAAGTAAAGAGTCAGTGTTTACCAAGGTAGTGGCAATCTCTTTTTGCACAGATACTTTAAGTTTCATTGTTCTGTTTGTCATAGCTTCAAGAATTCCAAGCAATCGTCAAGTGCTCTGTCTGTTTACTACCTTGATCTGGTATTCTCTATCAGCCAGTCTGACTGATTGCGTTGTCCAAATTTTACCATGAAAGATTTTTATATAACTCCCCTACAATCCCAGGAGAACATAGGGTTTCAAGCTAGAGCTTTGAAGTTTCAGTAGCAGTAGTGGTTGTTTTTTTAACTGGTTGGAGTTGCTAGCCTCACGCCGAACCTCCCATCTTTATCGCTATTATGACCGGCTAAGGAAGGTATAGGTGTACGCCGGCCGGGGCTCGAACCTCGAACCACACGTATGGTTGGCCAGCACTCTACCGCTGAACCACCGATGCACACAGACCACTGATGATGACCTACAACTACATTTTATTTCTTTAGTAATCAGTGGTTTTTGACTTGGCTTCACCTACGTTTACACCTACATCATTCAAGTGTAGTGTAGTAGATTGTCTTCGTTTTTGTTTTGTTTTTTCAAAAAAAAAGCATTTCTGATATTCTAATGTTTTACTTATTTTTCCATGATTTTTGTCTTTTTTGTCTTTGTTTTAATAACTATGAACACACAATAAAAAAGCAGCCTAAACAACAGACGCCAAATACTTCCCCTCTTACACTTCATCAGTTAGAAATTAATCAGAATAAAGCCAATCCTGAAACAACAACAGAATGTACTTTCAATGTCGACAATGAAAAATCTTGTAAGTAGTATATATATGCATTGTATATCTATGCTTATTTCCTTTTGCTTGCAGCATGTGTTACTGTTTGTTACACCTACCTTATACATTCTCCTATTGGTTTTGATTTTAATGATAATAGTTATTTTGTTGCTTCAGTTTTTCTCTACATTCATCCCTGGAATCGTGATTTTGACTAGCCTACATAACTTTTACATGTGTTCTCCTTTTTTTATAATTTCGTGGTGAATGTTGATTAAAAGGTTAATCTATAATGATAGTAGGGTATAACAGTACGACAGTATTACACCAAACGAAGCGTTATTCACTTATGGAGTATACAATGTAAACGATGTATTACAATACCGAGTATCCAATTAAGTGCCTTTTTTTCCTCGAAGTTACACTCCTATGTCATAGATTTATACTCGCCTCGCTAAACTGCGCATGGTCCTTTCGAAAAGATGACACGTCAGTTGATGTTGAAGCGTTCCATATTTTTTGCTGTGCATTAGTGATTAGCCGCCACTCAGGAGGTCCAGGATTTGATTCCCAGCTGACGTGCACTCTTAAACCGCCTGATTTATTAACCTGAAGTAAGCTTGGAAAAAAGAGGGAAGATTGGGTGTTAGGCTATCAACCCATAAGGAAAAAATCACCACTGCTGATACTTCAAATCTTTAGGGCGTATATTCCACTCAAAAATTGAAGAGTGAAGTGTGAATATGGTGAGTGGTGTATGTGATATGACCGGTAGTAGTATAAGCAAGTAGACTGTGAGCAATACAAACCTAATGTGCTCATGAAAGTATTTTCATCGCTATTCACATCGTTAATAAATTTTATCGTGAGATACAAAGCCTCATATGTTGTATTAGTGTACTGTACATTGCTATTCATAATGGACCACATTGTTGCTATGGCCTAGACAGTCGTTCACTGAATACTACGGCTTGAATACATTTCGGTAATATTGAACGACTTCAACATTACTTTCTGAGTAGTTAATCTGATAGCGTCCAGTGTAACGTGTCTAGTACTTGTTTAGTGCAAACTGAATTCTATCAGTCAAGTTTGCAATGTGGACACCAATTCTAGGTAGCTGGAAGCAATCGGTAGGAAGTGCTGGACCTAGATTTCGGACTATTTGGCACTCGTCAGAGGGCGTGTCTGCAAACTTGAATGAAATCATGTCCCTTCTAATATTTGAACCTGCATCACCCAATGCTGCAGTCAGAGACTTTGCCACCGAGCTATTCGGGCTCACTTAGTGACATAATTTCCTTCAAGGTTGCAGATATGCCTTTCTGACGAGTGCCAACTGGCGTAAAACGTAGATCCAAGGCCTCCTGCCAATTATCTCCAGCCGTATAATATCAACTAATCTGAGAGTAGAATGTATCCAGTACAAATTAAGGCTATATGCATCGCGAGTTTTAGTCCTGTATAAGTAATTAGAAACGGTAGAATTTTGAGCTATTTGACTCATTCCATAACATAATTTCAAGTGGATACTGCAGTACTTCGATTCCTTAGATCATGTCATACACCTTAACGTTTTTGCACAGTTGGGTGGTTTTTCGTAAATTGAAACATCTCCAATTTAATATTCTTCAAACATTTTGTATACTCATTTTTTTTGACAGCTGTGCTTATAACAGTGTTGGAAAAACTTCATACTCATTTAGTGAAATTATTTATTCAGTGAATTTGCTTAAAAGTTAACATTAGTTTCAACAAGATCCCGTAGTTAAGTGTTTCGATCGAATCTTCTCCAGTGCTCTGTGTGCAACGAATATCTCAACAACAACAACAAAAATACTGTCATTTCGACTCGGACAAAGTAAGATGCAATCGTCGGTGGTTCAGCGGTAGGACTCTAGCCAACCACGCTTGTGGTCCGGGTTTCTATTCTCGGCCAACGCACTCTTAGATCTCAGTTAGCAACCGGTAATGCGTTCAGTAAAGAGGGAAGGTTAGGCATCAGGCTAGCAAACCCAACTCGTAAAATTAAAATCACTGCCACTGAAACTTCAAAGCTCTAGCTTTAAGCCGTATGTTGCACTCGGAAGTTAAAGGAATAAGATAAAATGTTAGAAATCAGTTGTGTGTATTATGGAAATGATGGAGAAGATTTAGACCTCTAGGGGGATGATATCAGTGTAATTGAGTTCTTTGAGCTGAATAGGGTTGAACGGTGAAGCTAAAGTTTTTTTTCCCTGAACGATGATGAAAGCTTTGCAATTCCACCCTATTCCACCCAGAGAACATAACTCCACTCAAACCAGTGGAGACTGAACAACGAATTATTAAAATATAGAACTGTCATGTGTAATGTAGTTGGGATATTTAAATTTCTAACTGCTAGTGTATTCTTCTCGAAGTAGAAATACATTTTAATTTATGAACAGTTTGAGGTGTTCATTTTAAATATAACCTTTCTCTTCATTTTTCTCCTCTTACACTTTTTACAGTAAACTATAGTTTGTTGGTCGTTTTTTAAAAAAAAATTATTACTATTCTTTTTTTATTAGTCTCCCGATTAGATTCAAGTGAACATCCTCCTAGCCATTCAACATGGCCACCACCATCGTCGAACAGTTCTTCCCGTTTAAATTTATCCTCAAAACCAGAAGAAAATTCTCCGAATTTAAAGGCAAATATTACGACTGGTGGCAGTGGTGTATCTACAGCGTCTTCAACAAGGCGTCGTCTACCCGCTGAAAACTCTTTATCAAGAGGTTCTGTGAATAATACTGTTATCAATAATTCAGGAAATTCGAATGAGTAAGCCATTTTATGTAAAAAAAACAATGAATTTATCGTGTTGTTTAGTTTAAAAATTTAATTAAAAAATATCGTCTTGTTGATCTCGGTATCTGTCGACGACATGTCGGCGGATGCTTCGACGATGTCTGAGGATTTAACTTAAAATAATCAATCAATGGAAAAGTTCAAATTGAATTACACAATAAGAACTGATACCCTTGGCACAAGAGATGGCTCTCATGGCCCAAGTGGTCTAGAGGAATAACGCGGTGGCGTTTGAAATGATGGGTCGTAGGCAAGAATGGGAGTGTGGGTAACACCATCACTCACTCAGTCACTAGGGAGTGCAGGTACATCCACCAGTTGACGAGTCTCAAATAAGACGATGAATCGCGCATGCTGGATTCCACTGTTAGTCATTATCCATTAAATTACTTCAATTTATAAACATCTTAAGTATTAACCTTCATCTATTATGAACATTGAATATTGTTATCATTAGTGTTTTTATTGCCTATTTACCTACCAAACAATCTAGAGTACAAACTCACCAAGGCGATATATATTTATATTTATATATATGTATAACGTTGAATGTGTCCAAATTTTAGTTTGTGCTAATTCTAATTTATTTATTTGTGTAGCTTAGCAACACAACTGTTTATATTTGTATTCTAAATTGAATTGTTGATTTTAACATTTAAGAAGCAGAAGAAGGTCATCCTACTTTCTTTATACTTTAACACCTTTAACAATATGACAACAATATTCCATTTACTTATTTATATATACATATTATATATACTCGTATCTTAGGTTTATAATAATAATAATATTAAATTCATGTTAATGCTTTGAATATACAATGTTTTACTTCTATGCTGATTTGTAAACAAAAGTACATGTGTTATTTCTTGTGCAACATTGATGTCTACTGAAGTAACACTAGCAGTAGCAGTAGTTGATGTTGTAGACTGCAAGATTCTACTTTGTTAACTGAGCTACAATTTAGTGATCTTTGAGTTATTTTAATTTAGAAAATTCGTCACTGACCTCTCCAGTTTATAAATTTATTTCACCCATTTTATTTATTACAAAGTGTAACTCCAACCAATCACGTTCAAGGTTACTAGAAGAGATGACTAATAAACTCATAGAGAATTCTAAAAGCTCACTTCACATCGAAGTATGCGCTGAAGATGTTGCTCAGTAGAGCAATGAAAGCTTCGCAACCAAACCATCCAGCTCAGAGAACACAACCACACCAAAAGTGTAACTCCCTTTTATAGTCTCTTGTCAAATAAAACAAAAGAAACAATGTTATTTGCATTTTTACGGGGACTGGAATGTGAAATCCAAGACATACACTTCTAGTCTCATGCGGATGTTATAGGTATCATGTCGTTAAGACTCGTAAGCTCAAACATTGTTCATTAGACTGCTGAATCACAAGAAGTACCCCTTGCAAAGCATAGAATAGGTGAATTTTGTGATCTGTGTTGTCTCAGTAATCTACTGCTATTACTGTTACTCCCTTGAGTTCCAAGTGGTACACAGGGCTTCCATTTGAACATCTCCATTTCATCCTCTCCTCTTCAACTGGCTTCATGATTTCCCATAAGCTTGCATCTCTTCTTCATATGATCTCTTCCGTGTCAACCTCGAACAACCAACTCTCCTTTTTCCATTAGGATTATACTTGAGAGCATGGTACGCGATGTCAATCAATCGTCTCCCCTAGGCTGTGTCCAATTCTTTTCAATTTCCTTCGGCATATTTGTTGGTCGATAGGTTCTTTCCCAGAGCTGCTGTTTGCTAATACTTGCTGTCCGGCTGTCTGATCTTCCATATGGAGGCAATGAAGGCAGCTGTTGATAAAAAGTCTGCAGTATACAGCTGTAATTGCATTTAGTGACGTGCCAAGTCTGTTAACCATACAGAACCACTAACTCACTTGACATAAGTGCTGAAAATCTGAGCTATTCACACTGGTTTCAGATTTACATGGCTCTGTCTTCAATGGCCTAGTCGTTGACTTATATTTGAAGCTTAGTTCGTGTTTCAGTGGGGATGCAGATATATCCAAGACTTTACCACTGACCACAGAGTAAGTAGGGGTTGATATATCTTATTCTCGACTCTACCGAACTAAAAGGTAACATAACTGCTTGTTCGTCATCTGAAGGAAGCACCTTACTGGTATTGCCAATCTCAATCGCAGAAATACGACTTCACTCTCAGACCTACCGCTCAATAGAAGTGAATTACACTATGACTACTTTTAGCCTAACTGCTATTTAGCATGGTAAGGCCTGCAAGAATATTCAATACAGTCAATGTAGTAACTGCCGAGTGCAACTGCTCTAAATAAGGTAATAATAATAATGGCAGTGGTAGTAGTAATGAGTAATGTAGACTTCTGTTCCGAAAGCAATTAAGGTTGGAAATGTATTTAGAAGCTGGTTAAAGTTAGAATTAAGATTGCGAAAATGATTTCCAACATTAAACTTCTCAAAGTTTTAAATCGATGTCTTTTAAATATTGTATAATGGCTGTCACGTGTATCACTATGAATATATATATATGGTTTGAACCGTTTTATTGCCATACAGTAGATTTCATTGGGCTGATTACTGATCCCTTGCATTTCTAGATATCTGATTTTCAATGGACTAGTCTGACTAATTAAAGAAGTCTAAATCAAGGAACATAGGGAACAAGATTCGCATTTTCAACACCAATGTCAAGTCGGTCCTTCTATATGGGTCAGAAACCTGCACTGCGTGTCACGAAAAGGATTTCCAACAGGTCCCAGACTTTCATCAACAGCTGCTTTCGCTCCGTACTAAAGATCAAATGCCGGCCAGAAAGAATTAGTAACAAGCACCTCTAGCTGAGAACAAACCAACAAGCGAGAGGCGATTGCTCGGCAAATATGTAGGATAAAATGAAGATGGATCGAGCATATGTTGAGGAGGCCGTTGAATGACACCGCGCTCAATGCAGGCGATTGTTCGAGTGGAATCCCAGTGGGAAGCGATAAGTGGGTCATCGGTGCGAGGGTGACATGGAGAAGATTGTGTAGTGAGGAGGAGGAAATGAGAGATTATGGTTAATCGTGAACCCAGCTGGAGAGGAGAGGAGGAAATAGAAGGAAGTGGATATGTGTTGTTGAAGCCATATGTTCCACTCGGTACCCAAGGGAACAATAATAATAATAAATCAAGGTGCTTTTCATTAATTAAGTGACCAACTCACTAATTGTCAACTTAGAACCTTGAACAGAAGTACAGCAGTTCAATTTGCCACATTTTTATAGCAAACAAATATTAAGGAAAAAATGCAAGGGAACTACAATCAACGGAAATTTACGACAGAAAGAACAAGTACATGGAAAACAATTACAACTTTATGGATCCGGAAGTTTGTAAAAAGTGAATACATGTGTGCCACTAAGAATGATTTCGCTCCATGTCACCAACAGTCTCCAACTATTGAATGTTAGCATTATGCGAACTCACACTCAACCAGTCTACAGCTCCCTATGTGTCTCAAACCAACTGTCAATTATTTCCTGGATTAATTCCAGGGTTTTATTTAACAATCACTCTACCTCTTCTAAGCTAATCCTATTTCAGCTAACATTGCTCGACATGAAAAGCTATGGTATAGAATGTGTAATACGTGTACAAATCATCTCAATAAATTCACCTACACATCCCAATCGTCTGACTTTGCCTCTTTGTCTAAAACTTGACGCCTAACATCAGTATTAATTACCGTATATCATTGTTTAACTTGGGAGATAGAATGCAAGCACGTATGTGCAAAAGTCCATAACCTCTTCAGGACTTCTACTTTCATTGGCTAAATCTCAAAACCATAGAGAGGGACAGAGTAAACTACTGTCCCATTTGACATCACGTCTACGTCAAACATGAAATATGTCGGCAAGCACCACAAGAACCTTTTGCATCCTCATTGAAATTACTTCAGCAACCAGTTCATTTGGGCCAACGCAACTTCCCAAGTAAATGGAGTGGTCAACACGGTCAATCATATTACTCTAGTCTATTTTTAAACTAAGAGTCGATGCAGACCAGTCCTGAAACATCATCTTACATTTAACTGGAGTGACTCGTATGCTGACCATGCGAAAATTTCTGTTCTAGGCGTTCATAATCCTCTATATTCAGTCAGCCTCTTCACCTAGGAGGATAATATCATCCTCATAATTTATGTCGAGAAGACTATATCCTGATAACGAGTCAATCCCCAAGTCGCTGAAGTAGATTTGGATCACATCTATTTGTACATCTATGATAAAATTAAACAAAAATGGGGAAATCGGAGATCTCTGTCGGAACTCGATGGTTGTCCTTAGAATGTTATTAAGTGATAATTGAGTTTGAAAACCAGACGCTTGGGATCTGCAGAGCTCGAGGCAATAGTATACAGGTTATAAGACTAATTTTTCCAATAATTTAGTTACAAGACAACTTCTGACCATATTTTGAATTCAGTTTAATCACTGAAGGTTTTGAATTCCTAGTCTGTTACCATCTGTCGATCATTATCACACCAGAACATAATTTGATTCGACTGTTAGTTCGATTGTTATTATGAGGTGTAGACTGTCTGAGGTGCTTAGGATCAGTGGTGCGAGACTGTTGGGGAAATGGCACGAAATCTCTGTTAATGGTACAAATAAATTCACTCTCATCTCCTCTATTCATGAAATCCACGTTATTCTCTATTAAACCAGTCTATCCCCGCATATTTCTGTTTTAGTTTTTTTTACTTTGTTCTTTGCGTTCCAACTTGGACATATGGCTTCGAACTTTAAAGTTTCATTAGTAGTGTTGGTTATATTTTTATGGACTGAGGTTGTTAGTCTCACACCCAATGTTCCCTCTGCGCAAAGTGTAGGAGTGAGTCAGTTGTGAATCAAACCCGTACATCTCACGTATTTGGCGAGCATTCTACCACAACTGAACTGCCAACACTACACTTAAATAGGCTACAAGTTCTTAAATCCTTAAGCCTAACATATCAGGTACTATACAATGTAGAATATGTTACCAATAAGATTGGGTAGACATGGTTTCTTCTTTTTTGCGTATGAATTCGTGTTTTGTATCTAATTTCTTGTTTACAATACTTTTCTTTCTTTCTTTCTTTCTCTCGTGTATTAGTCCAATGCACCCTATGTCCCATTGTACAGATACTTCAGTCAATAGTGGAGATACATCTATGAAATTAAGTGATTATGATAAAAATCCATTACCAGATAAACCATTACTTAAAGGTGGTAAATCAGTTGCAAGTCTTTCTGGAACTCCACCAACATTACCAAGTGCTCTTAATCTAGTCAATTCAGATGATTGGGAGGATAAAGTCAGTGGACTTGAATTATTAACACAGATATTCAGTGAACAGTCAATACACTTAGTACAAACTACACAAACTGGTTCAGCGTCTGCAGGTTCTTCAAGACAACCTGCAACCAATATATCTACATCTGCTCCAACATTGGTTATTACTTCAGAGACACTTAGTCAAACTGTACAGGCAGTAATTACAGAATGTAGAAATTTACGCTCTCAGGTATGTGACTTTTTTATTTTTTTTCTAATGGAATATCTTTAACACAGTAAAATGTTCTCTGTGTATGTGGTTGACTGAAAAGTAAATTTATCATGATCTGCTGTGTTATAGAGTTGGGATTCTTTAATTTAGGTGGTGTAGTGTTAACTGCAGAATCTGCAATTCTGCAGTCGTGGTTGTCTAATCGCATTATTCTCACATAGTACCTTAATAGGGGTTCTTTGCTCTGCGTGTAACTGCTTTCTGACTTACGAATAAGTTGCTCTAAACTAATGATGGGACGGTGATTTATGTTGGGTCTGTAGAAAGCAATAAAAGTTTGACTTTTCTCATGTAATCTATTATTATTATTACTATCCCTTTAGGTTCCGAGTGCAACTTAGAACTTAAAAAGCACATTTCCATTTCATTCTGTTCTCTATAGTCCTCTTTAGCTGGCTCTATAGTCTTCCGTAAGCTCTCATCTCCTCCTTACACGATCTCTTCCGTGTCACCCTCAGACGCCCAACTCACCGTTTCCCATTTGGGTGCCAATCTATGGCTTGCTTGGCTGATGATTTCACTTGACGGTTTCCTCAGCGTATGTCCAATCTATCCACATTTATTTCAGTATATTTTTGAGCTATGGGTTAATGATTGATTCGTTCCAAAAGTTCCTTGTTTCTGATCGTTCCTGATCTTCAGTATGTAGCGAAAGTAGCTGTTGATGAAAGTCAGCAACAAGATGTTGAAAATACTTTTAGGGATGTGTACATTAAGTCTGTGAACTATTTAGAAGCACTGACCTATCACTAATGTTGAGAATCCGAATCTTGTTCTTTAAGCTGACTGCAGAAGGTTGTCACACTGATATTAGATCAATGAATGTGTGTCTTGCTTTTCCGATCCTGTCTGTGACCGTACCGCCTGTAGTTGAGAAACTGCTGAGTAGACAAGCGAAAGAAGGGACTTCCTTCAAATTTTTCCCTTTGATGGTGATTTGTGTGTGTCTTCTCTCTGTTTACCTGAAGTCATGTCTTCGGTTCTTCTTCTGCCACCTCGTTGGTTTTCACATGTAGATCTTCGTGTGTGTGTGTGTGACTTTAGGTATAAATCGTCCAGATTTTCTAGAATCTCCTCGTGAGCCCAATGTATTCTTGTCTTCTGGCTCCCCATGGTCTGCCGCACGGTCCTGTCTACTGCGATCAAAAATACCATCGGTCACACTTATGTAGTTTAGGTGAAACTTCTTAATGAATTATAACCACTTTAACCAATTAAATCACTTGACACTACGTGAAGTATGATGTTTCAATGCTTAAAGGTGAAAGTCTACTCAGTCCTCTTTATCGTTAGGCAAACATTTTATCGTTATACTGTGTTCAGTTTGAAAACATGTTTCACTGATGTTCTAAAAATAACACTTCGAACATTCAATATTACAGTAGATATGTGTTATTTTTTAGTTGTTTGTCTATTTTGTAGTTGTTTATTATTATTAATCACCTATGATCTGACAACTTTATCAGAAATATATTTACGTTATAAGAAGTGAGTGATTTATTTCAAATGTCTGATGGTCATTTGTCTGATCTTGATTAGGGTTATGTTTATACGCTACATATAAGTTCCAGTCAGTGCTGATGTCGCCATTTGGGGTTGTGTCCACTACTGTTCGTATATACCTGTAGGCATCTTTCTTCTTCTCCTGGTCTACAATGTTTGTAGGTGTATAATTCGAACTTTTCTTCCTCTCGAGTTTAAGCTTGTCGTCATTATCCCGGAGAAGATTGGTTCTCACTACATGTACGCCGTCGATGCTACTGCTGTCAGAACATTTTCAGTGTACTGTTGGTTGTTGTCTATGTGACTGGAGTAGATTATTCACTCTCCAATTAAGAGTTTGGAGAGTCCACTTCCAGATTCTTAACACTTTATATGTGGTATCTTCTCATTTCTCCTCTAATCTGAACAACTTTCCCAGCCTCAAACATCATGCGGATGTTCTATTTCCTCATGCTTACTTTTGCTTTTATCTCATTGAAGATATATCAGTCAACTAGTTTCGTGGAAGCCTTCATCTAATTGACTTCAGCCATCCTCGAATCGAGGCGTCATGCCGATTCCAGCGAACAATCAGTTCCTTTTTGTACTTTTAACTTTCAGTAGCTATATGGGGTTTCTCGCTGCCCCCCTCTTTTCTGGCCTTAAGATTGGTTAGTAAACTATTCGAGGTTTTTCAAGTTAAAACACCCCTGATAGGAATTTTTACTAAAAATAATCGATCGGCGTGCCTGCGTGCGTGCGTGCGTGTAGTCACATAACACTCGTCCTTTTTTCGCACATCGTTCAGTCACTATGGTAGAATCAATATTCATTTTGGTCAATATTGTGTAATGTGTAAGGTATTTTTAGCAGTGATTTACATTGTCTTTCTTTTTGAAGTGTAATTCATATGCCAATAAAACTAAGTGTTTGTTTGTGTATAGCTCTAATGGCAACTGATGCTTTTTAAGCATTGATAATTAGTCATCTATTTTCTAATGACAATATGGATTTATTATGTTTTAGTTTAATCTCACTTTGTAGATAGTTGTATAACCCTATTCGAATATTTAGTTGGTTGTAAGCAATCTGCAGGAATCTTTTCATCTGTGACTCGTCAGCAAGACGTAACTTGTAACCTTATAGATAGTGATCTCCCCTCTGAGATCCCAAACCTCGTCAGTCAGTTCTGTAGTCAGACACGCTGTCAATGAATTATTTGGAGTCACAGATGAGTGCACGGATTAAGTAATTAGTGTTATTGCGGGTACAAATTCTTTGACCGCTTTGTTGTGACTTAAAATCACGCGATTCAGAGAGAAAAACTTTAAACACCTCTTAGCATGTGTTGTGTGTCGTTAAAACTGTATACGTGATTTTGACTGAAATTCACTGGTTCCAGCTCACAGACAATCTGATGAAAGAGCTGACGAATGTATCATTCTCTCTGTGCTTACAACTGTTAGTGTAGCAATTAAAAACTTTACTCAGCTTCTCGTGTAGTTCTATATATATAGGTGACATGGCTCAAAATCGTTATCAATGGCTTACGCAGATGTATTCAGTCTCTTTAACCTTCATATTGCTTTCTACCATTACTCATTCTGTTTCACTCTTATACTTATCTAAATTCTATTGATTCTCTTCTCTCCTTTTCCTGTCTACCTTTGTGTGCTATTTGGAACGTGGCAACTCGAACTGCTGCACTTCGGTGCCAAGTTCTATGTTGAATCCAGCAGCAGCATACCATGTAACTATTCTCACCTTTTCAAGCATTGTCCTTGTAGGGAATTTCGTTTGGTTGCTTGGGGGAATTTAACATGAGCTGAACCATTGGAAAACCTGCCAAGAGTACTGGACAGCTGTTTCGTCCTAGTTTGGGACTCTTCAAAGTATGCACCCACCATCTTAAGCTACACATTTGCTTCCCAAAAGACAACTACTGCCCCAAAATGTTAGTTGGATTTGTATATTTTAATGCCTGAATGAGCTATATTGTGCGTCGGTGGCATAGCGGTTAGGATGCTCGCCGACCATGCACATGGTCCGGGGTTCGATCCCCGACCGACGCACTCCTTTACCTCGCTAAGCCAGAAATAATGCTGGTGAAGAGGAAATGTTGGGCATGAGCCTAGCAGCCCCATCCTGTAAAAAAACACTTCTACAGAAACTTCAAGCCACTAGCTTGAAGCCCTATGTTCCACTGGGGAAAGTAAAGGAAAAAAAAATGAGCTATATTAGCTGGGACGAATGTTTTTGCGGGTCCAAAATATACGAATTTGGATTTTTTTCTTCTGTCTAAACCGGAACAAGTAATGAGATCTCCGCTTTTCAAAATTGAAGTAGCTAGTTGGACGTGATCACGATCACTTCCACTGATTAGCCTCATCTCTAAGGTGATCGACCATTGGTAGATGTTAAAGTATTCTTTATTCAACTCTTGAGTATACACTTACTGTTGTGCTGTAATGTGACATTTGGTTTCGTGTATTTCTAAGATTTATTTTTAATTTTTTATTTATACTTTTGAAAGGTTTCACGTCAAGCTGTACAAACTATGGGTAGTTTATTTCAGGGATTGAATAGAGCAATGGATCCACACGTGGATGTATGCATACGTGTATTATTGAGTAAATGTGGAGAAGCTGCTGCAGCCTTCCTACGTGATGAAGTCACTGTGATAATGGATGAAGTAGTTCAATATGCCAGTCCATCACGTACACTACAAGCATTAATACAACATGGATTAGGGTAAGCGTCTATTATTTTTCTTTCGAATAACGTATCTAACTATTAAAGTCTCTTTTTTTTCATGCTATATGTAACTTCATTGGCCTTAGGTTTGAATACCCTTTCCCTTGATGATCTTCAATGAAGTATTTCATCGGTTCTTATCAACTACATGTAACCTGAATCTTGCCTTACCTAGGTGGAAAAATTTCATATTGTGTTATTTCAGTTTTCATGATTTTTGTTAATTTATACGTATTTTGAGAAACTGATTGCGTAGCCTTCATTCCTCTCTTTATTCGTACACTTAAAACCTGACTGTTTTTGACCTTTGGTGGACTAGGTTACATAACTCTTATGCAACCTGTCTTTCCAATTTTATACCTTAACTCTAAAATATACCCTTATGGTTTTTCTATGTATACTAATACATATAATCCTTCTTATTCTACTATTCAGTTGCTTAATATTAACGGCCTACATCACCATGTTAATTAACTACGTCATAGACTTGAACTGTGCATCAGTGGTTAGGCGGCAGAATCCTCGCCAACAATGCATGTGGTTTGGGATTGGATTCCCGGCTGGCGCACACCTTTACCTCCCTTAGCCGACTTGGGGTTAGCCATCACCACCTCTAATGAAATTTAAAAGCACAAGCTTGAAGCCTTGTGTTCCAGTTGGAACGCAAAAGGAATTAAACAATAATATACATATGATAGTCTTGAACTAAATTAAATTGCTTTCCAGGTAGACAAACAATATCGTTAGTTATTACACAGGGAATGTTCTGTTATACATACATCTCTATTTGCATCTTTTGTTGTTTAAATTGAGCATTTTATTTATCAGGATTGTGTTTTAATCCAATTTTTACTTAACTTTAAAGTTTATTTTGACAAATGGCGAACTATTATTTTTTTTATTATAGATTGACTCCACACGTATTTTTGATACAAGTATGGAATTTTCAGCATGTGATATCAGTAGCCCAAATTTAGCAGGCCAACCATTGATATCAGGTGTGCGTCGGCCGGGGACAGAAGCCCTAGACCATATGCATGGTCGGCGAGCGTCCTAACCACTATGCCACCGACGCACTTGTACGGATGTCTCAATAGTACTACCATAACTCAATTGAAGTTATTTATTTAGTGGTGACTTGCAGCGCAACCTACAACGTATGTCTTTCTGCTGGAGACTCGTCAACTGTAGAGGTAAGAAAATCATCGCTCACCAGGATTGAAGGTAAATAGAGTTGAATCAATCAATATCAATCAGAGCAGCAAAGCGTATCCTGCGTTCCACTGATTTTCACCACCAAACAAATAAGCTGAAGTTTATTTGAAGAAAGTAAGAATAGAAGTTAAGTGAAGAATAAAAGTATGACAAGATAAACATTAAGTTAGTCTTAGGTAAATGAACTTTTCAATAACAAAGAAGTGGAATGTGAAAATAAATAAATAAATAAATTCAATAAGTAAATATAAAAACACCTAAAAGTTACGAACATATGACGTATTTGTTATCAATATTTAATATTTTGGTGTTCTCCGACCTTATCACTTAATCATGTCTCAACAGTTAAACAGTTTCTTATACAATCAGCGTGAACTACTGTGAGTGTGTTAATGTCCGTGTGATGATAAAGGTAGTTGATATATTGAATTTCATTCTCATTTTGATTGCTGTCACCAAATCTGTCATGTCCTGATGGTCTGATTGTCTGCTATAGTTACTTCGTCCTAGTGATCAAAAGTTACTTCACTGTGGAATAACAAAGATTGAAAATAATCAAACAGTTGTAAGGTTACCGTCTTTATCGCTTAAAAATATGATTACCAACCTTACTTGGACGGAGTATTCCTCACAAAAGTGGATGGGCAAATGTGAACTTCTCATGCTTACAACTGGACAGACGGACATACTGACCAACCTACAGAAGGGGTGTGTGTCTAGGAAACCCTGATTCCAAGCCTATAGTTAACATGGGCACTGGAATCTGTAATGATCGAATAGCGTATGAACTTCTTTCAGTCACTGGAACGTATCTCCTGACTCTGCTCCATTACATAGATCTTTGGATCTGACTTCAGGTTAAAGGTTCAGGGGTCAGGGACTGCCGCCCTCCCAATACAACCAGCTGCTTCGGTCTGGGTGTCTGGGTAGTACAGCATCCCAGCCATCGCACAAACTATAAGATTTTGTGTAGCGCGTCTCTTGGTGTCCATCATGTAGCAAGTTTTAATAATAACAATAATTCATGAATGTTTTCATTTTTTCTAATTTTTTTCCCAAAAAACAATAAAAACTCTTATCAAGCTGAAGTGCGTGTCCTCTTTAAAAAAAAACCAAATATTTGTCGGCATTTTAGAGCTGTATTCCACTTTTATTGACAAGCTTATCTCTTATGCATGATTTCCATTGGTATCGCTTCCTGTCAGAGTGCAAAACAATCTTCTTAGCTTCACCATCATCATCATAATCATCATCATCTTGCTGTCTCTATTAATTGGATCTGTTGAGTATAAGAAAGTAACAAAGGAAAAATAGGAGGACTTTTTGTCTCAATAGTGTTACGCTGTGTAGTTGGTATTTCATACTGGCGGCTCGAAAAATTTTCTAACTTCCGCTTGACTCCTGTTAGCCTATGTATCTATTCACCTGGATGTGAATTATGTTTTGATACCGTCTACTCCGCACTTCACTTTCCTCTTGTTATTATTGTTTTCATACTGTACGTAGAGACTACCGTGAATATTTTTCTTTTTCTTTGCCTTTTGTGAGCCATGGCGCATTTGTCTTACCTTGAAATATCTCACATTAATTTGCATACTTCAGGCTGGAATTAGGCGCTGGCATTTGAACCAACCAACTCACCCAGAGACAAACTTTGTTGTTGGCTTAATGACCTGACAGATCCAGTTAGAAGTAATACAATCTACCACCAAATCCTACGTCAAACTAGTAGATCGGCTTCAATAAGATTATCGGAACATAGGAATTTAGCTAGGTGTAGAATGATTTGATACCGCTAAGTTAAATAATCTAGAAAAAAGCTCGGCTATCGCACTTCATTCACTTGCATATAGTCATACAGTAGGGTGGCATAGGTTCGAAAGCATTAAAATGTAACACAGTTAGGTAGAGAAAAAGGGAGGTTAGTCACCGCATCTTCGTTCATCGAATCAACATCAAACAAGTGCAATTGAAACGATACAACGTCTACACCAGATGTATGAAAAATTGCAAATAAAAAACAGCTGGGAATAGACCTCTATAAAGCAAGATATGAAGTATTTTTTTAAAATTCCTTTATGTTCCCAGCGGGACATAGGGCTTCAAGCTAGGGGCTTGAAGTTTCTGCAGCAGTGGTGATTATTTTTACAGGATGGGGTTGCTAGCCCAACCTTCCCTCTTCATTAGTCTTACCACTGGCTTAGCGAGGTAAAGGAGTGCGTTGGCGGCCGAGGATCGAACCCCGGACCACCTGCATGGTTGGCGAACACTCTACCACTGTGAAGTGTTGGTTTGCAGGGATTTGATTGGTTATAGGATTGATCACGAGCTGACATCAGTCAGAGAACCACTGGAAAACCTATGAGTCACTGAATAGCTGTTTCGTCATCGTCAGCTCGTCATCAATCCTGTAACCAATAAAACCCCTGCAAACTAACACTTGATAATTAATCTGATGCCCAATAGCGATTGGCCTTATGCAGGAAGTTACCTGGGGTTCTAGTGAGAAGTTGTAACCAGTAGGGACCATCGAGTCAAGCAAGAGGACAGTGACACTGGCCGGCTGTCGCGCTGGCAGATTCATCAGCCACTGAGACTTGACCCAGTGGCTGAATAGCCTACGAGCTCGCCTCTTAACCAGAGGGGTTTGAAATCGAACGCCAGGGGGTGCGTACTGATGAAGAATTCCGAACCAGGTCGAAATAGAGCTGTCCAGTACTCCAAGATCTTCCATTGGTCCTCTAACTGATGTCAACTCGTGATCACTTCTGAAACATTGTTACTATTATGAACAATGAATTGTTCCAGGAAAGTCATCCTGTTAACAGTATTGCTTTGTCAAATAGACTTATCTAAAATATGAAATTATATTTCGCCACATTGCCCAGATTCTACTCTTATATTACTCAAGTGAAGTATGAATTTTGTTAGCACCCTACTCCTAGCTACTGGTAGGAAAAATGTTCTACTTGTGGAATAGCATTGAAGATGATGTTTAGTAGTCCGTTATGACTTCAATAGCCACAAATTTCCAGCAAATAAATATTACATAAAAGCAGGGAATGGTTTTCTGTGTTTTATATCGATTGATATACATTAGATTAGTGTTACACACAAATAATAATAATAATGAATTAATCATCTGTTTTATGTTACTCTTATGTATTAGTTGTTTGGTTGGGCATCTGGCTTAGTTACTGATTTATGCTTATTTTTGTGTTCCTCAAAGACGTAATTTTACTTACTTATTTTAAGTATGGCTGACTATTATTTTCGACAGTAGGGTGTGAAAGAAGCCCATATACTGAATCATATACCACTGGCTTTTGCGTAGGACCTCTTCGCATCTGAGGAATCGGTGGTATGACTGTGTCTCTCATTTTCTCAGTTCTGTTCTCCGTTTCACATATGTTGATTTTTTCCCCCAATTCATCGTGTTCCAAGTGGAACGTAGGGCTTCACGCTTGAGCTTTGAAGTTTCAGTAGCTGTAACATTCCCTCTTTTCTGGGCGTCCTACCGGTTAAGTGAGGTTTAGGTGGGAGTCAGCTGAGGATTGAACCTCAACCACCTGCGTGTTTAGCAAGCACCATCGATGCAATTATTTGCTCACCTGTTTTATGTAGTTGGAATTTTAGGTAGTCCAACGTTCAAACAGACCGCCTGTCAAATGTTCCGTTTAACTCACTACATTAAGAAGTTCGGACAATCAGGAATCACTCAACATCTACTCTCAAAATTTGTTAACTCTTGCATCTCACCTATTGTACTTTACTGTTCCCCTTTTGGTCTTTCCGGGGCTACTCAAAAGGCACTATGTCATTCTGCGCAAGGTATTAAAGTTTGTCAGTAGGGCAAATAGTGTGCCACTCAGTCAGCTTGTTACTACGGTAGTCGATAGACATCGGAACTCATGTGAGAAATAGTCTAAATCCATATTGTGTGACTCTCAACACCCTATACATTCTCAACTTACCTCTTGCATCTCAGCAAATAGGACTAGAAGTCACTAAAAAAATATTATATGCTCTCACAATCAAGTACAAAAACTCGACTACACCCTATTCCGCCCGCGTTCTATTTGATGGTGATAGAGTTAAGCGTGAAATCTACGAATTACTGTGTCGCCAGAAAAATAATTGGCTCTTTTATTCTCTCCTATTTATAATCTGTAGTGACACTATTTCAATCAACTTACATTTTCAGCTATTAATATTATTGTCATCATCATTATTTTACACTTTTTATACATTTTTGACTTTATTATCACTGCAAATGCCAAAAGCTACTACTATCAATCTTGGTTACGTATGTTTGTTTTTTGTTTTATTCCTTCACGTTCCCAGTGGAACATAGGGCTTCAAGCTAAAGGCTTGAAGTTTCTGTAGCAGAGTTTATTTTTACGGGATGGGGTTGCTGGCCTCATGCCCAACCTTCCCTTTTACCAGCTTTATTTCTGGCTTAGCGAGGTAAAGGAGTGCGTCGGCCGGGGATCGAACCCTGGACCATGGTCGGCGAGCGTCCCAACCGCTGTGCCACCGATGCAAAATCCCGACGGGGATGGGATACGAACCCACGCGGGGAAACCCCAATGGATTAGCAGTCCATCCATTGGGGTTACGAATACCCTGTAATATTATTTATCTTTTTGCTATTGTCGAG